AATTGTGGTCTGCTGGATTATCTATGTATAACACAACATTTATTTGTAATTTCTTGATTATTATGCTTATTGGACTTTAATTTCAAGAGCATATTATAATATTTTGGCTTATCAATTTAAATTATGAAAAATAGGAAACATGGCCTTTTGTAAATACATTCAAATTCTCTAAACACTGCAGATCGTTCCGTAGATCTTGTGGAGGTGTACAGCGACGACGACGAGGATTACAGTTCTCAGGATGAAGGCAGTGACTCGGAGCCAATACTAGAGGACGGTTCAAGAAGGACACACCATCACTTGCGATCAAACACACGATCGAAGAGTTTACCCCCCAATGCTCGGGTGAGTGGAAATTAAAGATTGTCATCGCCATCGCCATCGCCATCATCATTGTTGTCATCGTCATCACATCATCATCACATCATAATCACATCATAATCACATCATAATCACATCATCATCATCATCATCATCATCATCATCATCACATCATCATCATCATCATCATCATCATCATCATCATCATCACATCATCATCATCATCATCATCATCACATCATCATCATCATCATATCATCATCATCATCATCATCATATCATCATCATCACATCATCATCACATCATCATCATCATCATCATCACATCATCATCATCATCATCACATCATCATCACATCATCATCATCATCATCATCATCATCATCATCATCATCATCATCATCATCATCATCACATCACATCATCATCATCACATCATCATCATCATCATCATCATCATCACATCATCATCATCACATCATCATCATCATCATCATCATCATCATCACATCATCACATCATCATCACATCATCATCATCATCATCACATCATCATCATCATCATCATCATCATCGTTTGTCATGTGATCATTGTATTACTGGTATTATTGGTACAAGTTAATTATTTTTTATATATATTATTATTTCATTATCTTTATGCTATAATACTTTATGATCTGTGTGTGTGTGAGTTTAATCATATATTAACTTATGTATTTCAAAATATATGTTTCTCTTTCAGCAAAGAAACCTGAAACAGAGGTTCATTGCATTGCTCAAGAGATTTAAAGTTCCTGAGGCCTTACAGGCATTTGATCAGGACCAGGAGCTTGATCCCAGAACTGGTAAGTATTTCACACACAAAAAAGCTAATGTATTTTTTCCCTTGAAAGTTTCGGGATGCATTTTTGATATACAGGTAACTGGCATTCTCCAACTAACCATAATATGCAGGTGTGAATTGACAAATATCCATATAACATTTCTGGTGAATGTTGTAATGAGAAACAAGTGTGTTCACCAGGTGTTCATATTTCTGGTATCATGTTTTTTGTATTTTTTTTCTGAATGAGGAATAATATTTGCACTTTCCTGCAGGTGGTGAAGTAGATGAAGCAGAAATTGAAGACCTCTTTGATGAACTGGAAGATCTTAGCGACTCTGGCCCTGAAGTGGACACTATATCCATAACATCAACCCCCAAACCGTCATTGCGGCCATACTTCTCGTCTTCTCGATCTCTACTTAATGAAGGTCTCAGTATGTTAGCTTAGGAGGGCATTATGCAGCAGGACTAGCATAATCAGAGAGAGTTAATTTAAGTGGATGATATAGGGACTGAAAGGAAGCAGAAGGTAATAGGGGAGAGAAAGGAGGTTCATATATGTGGAGGTAGAAACAGGAATTCTTTTGGGAGACTTTGACGATAAGATAATGTAGAAAGTGAATTGGTTGTAGAGATTGCTCTACATGTCAGTTCCAGGTAAGGAGTGTAAGCAGAATGTTGGTATTACTGAGGTATAATTGGGGTTTTGAAATGAAATTAAATTCAAATTGTTGATGGGTTGAAGTCTGAAAATGTTAATAGATGTTATCTTTTTTGGCATCAGATATTTATATGGCCAGTAAAGACAGCACTGCATGGAGCATCAGATTATACCTTGTTTCACACCATACAGTGATAGTTTACCACCAAAGAATGAAAATAGAAATTCCTGACATAAAAGGAATGCACATGGTGTACTGATGTTCAAAATGCAAAAGAATGTGGTTTAATTAGGGAATTCACCTCTCAGTCTCGGGCAAATCATCTGTTAGCATAAGATTAGTGAATTAAATAAGCATGATTGTATTTCTTTCAAAACCTTTTTTTTAGATAATTAACTACAAAATGAATGAATCATAAAGCCAAATTATAATTATTTCCTTTTACTTGATCTTATGCTGACATTTGCAATTCACAGTAGCTGAGTAGCTTGTTTTTTCTGCACAGTTTTCTACACATAATGATATAAACTTGTAAATATTTGTGTTAAATTACATCAATTATAGTAAAATAATGGCATGTTTTTATGTTATATGAATTTTTTGCTTTTGTGTGCAAGCTGATTTTGCATTTGCTGTACACATCAGATATATTGTCACTGATAGGAAGAATGCAAGTGTTCGTTTTAGTACGTTGCTAGGAAAGGCAAACTAGGTGTTGGGATTTTGCATTATTTCCCCATAGATCCATTAAGATTACGGTTTGAAAGTAGATGAGGGTAAACATTTAAATTTTTTACTGATATTTTGAAGCCTATGCTCATTTCACATGGTTTTCAATAAGCTAAAGGGAATCAGGACTCTTGAACTAAAGTCATTGTGATTCAAAGTAGAACTTTGAAATATATTATTTCCATAAATCTTCAGTTCATGATTTCTGTATTTTGATGAATTATTTTTCATCGGTTGTTTTTTGGTATTTTGTTTCTTTTAAGAAAATCATACAATAATTTCCCATCATGTCTTAATTTTTTCCAAGAAATCCATATATATCAATACTTCTCTCATTATGCCATTTAAGAGAAAGCTGTCATGACATTTAGATTTCTGAACATTATTTTCGCAGAAGAGTGTTGAGGACAACTCAAAGAATTCATTGATAGGATATTTTAATTTACAGCTCTCCACATGAAGTTAATTCTGCCAGAGTGAGTAGCGATGTTGAACCAGATCACTGCACATTTTGTTGCTTGTTTAAGCCCCCCCCCCCCTTTGAAAGAAGGAACTTAGGATAAAAGACACTGATAAATTTTATATTTCAAATATATCGTGCAACCTTAATCCTATTTAGGTTTTATGTGAATATTAACCGGGTTAAGAATGAATGCTGTGTTAAAAATTTGGATATTGGCCAATTACGCAGGATTGTTGGCATACATCAATGGTTTCCCCAGGTTGTGCCTGGCTCGTTTGGTAGTTTGCAGGCAAAATTAGGCACCTAAAAGCTTATATTTTGATATCATTAAAAAAATAAAATTATATGTGAAGGTTTATCTTCACTTTATGTGCTACTGCTTAAAAGTATCCCCATAGAAATGATGCTACTATCGGAGAAAAACAAGCTCTGTCCGATGAGCTGACGGCATGGGAATGGTCATGATGTGATGCCGCCCACTATGTTTTCCACAACGGCCTTGGCATGTCTATACATGCCACCTGGTGGGAAGTAGTTGATCTGTGCAATACCAGGAACATATATGATACTTTTAAATGCTGATGGTAATGATTGAAAGGAAAATTGTTACTCTCTTGAGTATTGTACAATAAAATTCACCATTTTGTATAGCGAAATCTACCTTGAATTTGGGGATCTTAAGGTTTCTAATTTTTGTGTTTAATTTTCCAAGAAGTTATTTATTATAGCCATGTATTGCTTAGGTGCTGTTCATATTCTGTGACTGGTGATCAAACATTTAGATTTCATTTTACTTAGCATTACTTTTAGTTATGGCCAGAATACCAGAAAGGAAAAAGAATACTAATGCTGAATAGAAGGATCTGAAGAGGACCAATAGTAGTACAAGGAAAGACTGGATAGTTTCCATGTAGGATGTATTTTTTTCTTTTTATTTAGCTTGATTGGCCCTGAATAGCAGCATAAGTCCCTTAGCTGGCAACATTAGGTGTTTCAGGAAGACTAAACAGGTGTAAGAAAGAGTCATATATTGTGCATACCAGAGTTGCATTTCTCTCATTCTTTTTCCTTTTCATACTCTTCCACTCTTTCTATGCCTTTGTCTGTCTCTATCTCTTTGCTTCTCTGTTTCTCTTTCCATCTCTATGTTTCTAGTACTATCTCTCACTCTCTATGTCTTGACCCCCTCCCCCCACACACACACCCTCTTCTCCCTATCCCCCTCTCCTCCCCCTCCTCCCCTCCCCCCTCCTCCCTCCTCCCTACTCCCCCTCTTCTCTCTCTCCTCCCCATCTCTCTCTCTCTCCTCCCCATCTCTCTCTCTCTCCTCCCCATCTCTCTCTCTCCTCCATCTCTCTCTCTCCCTCTCTCTCTCTCTCTCTCTCTCTCTCTCTCTCTCTCTCTCTCTCTCTCTCTCTCTCTCTCTCTCTCTCTCTCTCTCTCTCTCTCTCTCTCTCTCTCTCTCTCTCTATCTCTATCTCTATCTCTATCTCTATCCTCTCTATCTCTCTCTCTCATCTCTCTCTCTCTCTCTCTCTCTCTCTCTCTCTCTCTCTCCTCTCTCTCTCTCCTCTCTCTCTCTCTCTCTCTCTCTCTCTCTCTCTCATCTCTCTCTCTCCTCTCTCTCTCTCTCTCTCTCCTCTCTCTCCCTCTCTCTTCTTCCTCCTCCTCTCTTCTCTCTCTCTCTCTCTCTCTCTCTCTCTCTCTCCTCTCTCTCTCTCGCTCTCCTCTCTCCTCTCTCGCCTCTCTCTCTCTCTCTCTCTCTCTCCTCTCTCTCTCTCTCTCTCTCTCTCTCTCTCTCTCTCTCTCTCTCTCTCTCTCTCTCTCTCTCTCTCTCTCTCTCTCTCTCTCTCTCTCTCTCTCTCTCTTCTCCTCATTCTCTCTCTCTCCTCCATCTCTCTCTCTCCTCCCTCTCTCTCTCTCTCCTCCTCTCTCTCTCTCTCTCTCTCTCTCTCTCTCTCCTCGTCTCTCTCTCCTCTCTTCTTCTCTCTCTCTCCGCTCTCTCTCTCTCTCTCATCCTCTTCTCTCTCTCATCCCTCTCCTCTCATCCCTATCCTCAATCCTCTCCCTCCCTCCCCCCTCCCCTCCCCTCCCTCCCCCCTTCCCTCTTCTTCCCCCCTACCCTATCTCTCTTCTCACCCTCTTCTTCTTCCCTCTCTCTCCCCTCTCTCACCTTGTTTCTCACTCCTTCCCTCCCCACTCCTCTCTTCAACTCAACTCTATCCCCATTCCCTTCCCCTTCCATTTCCCCTTCCCATTCCCTTCCCCAGCCTCTTCCCCATCCCCTTCCTCTGCCTTCCCCTCACGCATCTCTTCACCTGCACTTTATCCTGCTCTTCTCTACTTTTCTCTCTCTTTCCCCCTCCCCCCACAATCCTTTCTCCTTTTTCTTCTTGTTTTCTAGGTCTGCTCTCTCTTTCAACTGTGTCAGTATGAAACAGAATTCTTAATACCACATTACCTTGATAGAGCCCCATTCTGTGGGTGCATACTAAGTGTACAGACACTCATATTTTGAATTGCAAGCATTCTGGTTAGTAAGTTCTGTTAATATTTCATTGCAGGTAGTCTTGAGAAAAATTCACAGACACGTTTTACAACAATTTATAGTGTAATCTGTTATAAATTTGGCTTTATTTTTTACTTGGTATGTATTGTAACTATTGTTTATAGTCCATGCCTGAGAAGATTGTTATCAATTTTTTTTTTTGTTTTCTTGAGATGTAGCTCTTTTCACAGTTTTAATCCTGACCTGCTCAGTGAGATGAACCATTTAAAAATCTTGAGTGTGCAGAGGCAAAGCTAACTTTCTTAATGTCAACACAGGGGGTACTTACCTGCGGTTGAAGGTGCCAGGTGCGTTGCGTCCTCGTGGTGTCAAAGGTTCTCATTGGCTGTTCCGTTTGGCTGGTGTTGTTGTTACTTGTAGTTTTGGAATGACAATTTTTTTTATTGGGTTTCTTAAAAAAGATTCTGTCATCTCCTGTTTAGTTTCTACCTTGACGGGCCTTGATATGGAGCAAAAGCCTGCCAAAGAGCAGAGCAGTTTGGAAGCTTGTTGAATACAAAGGCTATTTCTAACAAGCCTTTTTGATGTCATTTCATGCATATCAACACTCGTATTACCTTTTGATGGCATTCTACTGGTACAGACAGACAACTAGGAAGCTTTATCACTAACAATTGATAAACTGCATTTTTTTACTATTTTTCTATCAGTCATATGCAGTGTTTATAAAGCTGCAAACAAGTTATGAAACTGTCTAGTTGTTGTATGTACTTGTCCTACTCACTCCCAGATGTTATTTCTTCTTAGTCATGTTCTTAAATGTTAACTCTATAATTTCTTCTCTTATAAAAGGCATTTAAGCATTCTTTTTTTCTTATAATAGAACTCCTTTTTGTATAGGGATTTCTCTTTTTAAAAATCTTAAAAAGATCATGTGGACTTGACATTCAAGTTTTAAAAAATTTGAATTATAGGAGAAAGGAAACAGAAAGGCATCCAAGCTACTGTTGATCATAGATTTTTTTCTTAATGAGTACAAGCCCTTGTGATGTTCTTATACAAAGAGGAGGTTTAGTTGATATGAGTCATTTGGAAAATAATGTCAAGGAGCAAAATGTTTCAAGAATCAGTAATATCTGGATTAAGTTGATAATGGTGAAATAAGACTCCAAATGCTGGGAATGTGTAATGTTATCAAGTCTGTAACTCTAGCCCATGAAAGAAAAGTATGAAAAGAAGTGACTTGGAATTCACTATAGGATTTTAGAAAGCATTAAAGGGCTTGATTGTATATTATAGTTACATGCATATTATTGATACTTGCAAGGACAATGCTTAAATGTGGCTAACTGTATGCATCTTGGAGGTATTCAGTGTTGACTTGTGAGGCACCAGTGTTTATGTAAATATAACATATGTGTTTCTAGACCAGATTTTAGTAGTGTAGAACTGTGAAGAATTCTTGTAGTATAGATATTATTTTTAATTGTTTGTGAAGATTTATGAAAACATCTAAAGATGGCCTTGTGATTCACAATGTTATACGTGTAATCTGTACATATGTTATTAGAAAGATTTATTCTGAGTTGTATTTTTGAACTCAAGGAACATATGACAAAACATTGAATAACTCCTACATTTTAGCACTACTTGTATAATCATCACAAAACAGTCAGATTTGCTTATTCATAAGTTAGTTTACTTTTTTACACTTTCTTCCTGTTGGATAGAAAATATTAGGAAGATTTCTACAAGAATTCCATTGTAACAAGTACTTCCCTTCTCAGCAGACAAAGTGGGCGCAGATAGACTGAGTGATGAAAGTAGCAAAAGAGCCGACAGCGATCACATGGAGAACTGGACGGATCAGGAGCACTCTGATCCACAGTGCTTAGCTTCATCTCCACCAAGAGAAGACAAAAATAAAAGGTATTAGGATAAAGTTTTTCTTTGTTTTTACTTTAGGAGTTAGTAGTGGGTAAATTTCACTTTATATTTGTGTATGAATAATGCTAAGAAAATATAGGGCACAGATGGAAGATGCAACTTAAACTTTAACCTGAAATTGAAGGTCAAAAGTCTAATTGCATTAGCATTTGTCATTAACTTGTGTTCTAAGGTAACACATCCATGCGCACTCCTTTTTATTCATACACTATACGTAAACATACTTTATATACAATATGCCATGATTTTAATTTAGTTTGCAGCCCGCAAAAGAAATTAACCCCATAATGTTTTGCAGTAACAAGAACAAGTTGTTTAATAGAGACCGAAGCAACATGTCCTTGAAGGAGAGGAGGAGTGTGTCGTCCACAGGCGGCTCAACGCCTCGCCAGGAGAAGATGGTTGTTGAGAGGTCGAACTCAAGTGCAAATGTAGACTCTAGTGTAAGTATTATCTCTGAAAAAAGTTCTTATTGTTTAGGAATCATCGATACATTTGCAATAGTATTAGTAGCATGCAACATCAGTATAATAATGTTATGACTTAAAGAGTAATGTTAGAATTAGAATTAAAACTATGATAATGTGTTGGAAGTCCAATAATTGTACTGTAATTTTTGATAGTTGAAATAGTGACAGTATAACCAAGAATAGTTTTGTTTTAAGAGCTTCCTAATCAACAAAAATTTTGCTTCATCTCTAGCCAAGGAAGGTGTTGTTAGAGCAGCTGGCTCGAGTACTACCAGTGGAGGATGTACAACTGCCAGACCACGTTGTCTTGGTGAACACAGGGGAGTCACACGGGCCTCTCCTGTCTGCACATCTCACAGAGCATGGCCACAGGGTGATTACTACCATGTCCATGGCTGATGTAAAGGCCACTGTCTCGCACCTTGTCAACAAGCTCCAAAAATTGTAAGTTTTATTTATGTTATCTGTATATCTGTAGATATATATACAAATGAATTTAAGTTTTGTATTCTTCACACCCATTTAAATATTTTAGAAACATATGATTTTCAATATTTGCTATTATCTGTTCCAGCTGCAACAGTAATGCCAAAGCCCCAGGCCCCATGAAAGTTGTGGTGGTGGGCTCTGATACTTACATTAGTTGCGTTTTGCGACCGTATGTCGACCAGTTCTCTTCCAAACCGCCGGACTTCCAAAACCACGTTAGATTTCTCATCATTCCTCTTGGTACGATATGATTCTTTTTTGTTTGACATATTAAAACATACTTGCCAAGGTTCACATGTTTTTTTAGTAGAGGTTTGCTCTCCTTTTGAACTTTGGAATCTAATTTGATATTTTTATCTAATTTAGGTGCGATTTAAAATCTCAGATTTATGTCATTATAAGACAGCATCACTAGAGCATTCAAGAATTATTTAGTTAATTATGATAAATGTAACATACAATGATGATAGATATGAATACATGAATTAGATAAATCTTTCAGTGATGAACTTTTTAAAACTTTTATATTTCTGATCTGGATGGTCCTTTTGTTGCAGGTGTAAATAGCCTAGCTAAGTACTTAGGATCTGTAGACTCTGTGTATGGTGCGGCTTTTGTCAGTGAATCCTGGCGAGAGGTTGTGGAGCGATGGGAGAAGCCAGATGTGCAAGAGGTTGTTAATCGCATCCACCGCTACCTTACACAGGCTCAACACACGTTGCACCTTCCTATTGCTGAAGCTATGCTCACATATAAGGAAAAGAGGTGGGTTGGAAGGAATCTTGGCTATAGATCTAACTTGTATATACCATTTTCTTGACATAGATATGAGCGTTTTAGAGAAATGCAAGTCTTTTCTTTTTTTGTGTATTTTTTTGTCTTGTTTGTATGTATTCATATTTAGCTTGCTACATATCTGTTTACCTGTGCACTAGAAACATAAGCAAAAGCCAAAAGGGCATCAGAGATTAAAGATGGTATAGGAAGATAGCGAAACTAGAAAAAAAGTAAAGAAATTAACAAGAGGGAAGGAGAGAAGTGACAAGAAGACATTAGTTTTGGACCAAGTTGAAGGTCATTACTGCTTATTAACCCATTTATATCTAAATCAGTAATGTCAGCAGCAAAGCATGTTTTCCATAATTCTAGCATTGTGTATTAAAGGCCTTGGTACTATGTCATAACTAATTATTAGGACAAATTCCAGCTTTGAATGTGTGATGATGAAGTTAACACATTTACTTCCTATTGCCTTTTTTAGTCCAAGAGCTGGAACTCAACGTCTGAGCTGGCCTGTTTGGCACGTATCATCAGGAAGCAACATGTGTGTAGGGGAAAAATTTAATTGGCTTATAGGTTAAAGTTCTGAAGATATAGCTTTTCCTTTGGTGTATTTTTATTGACAGTGCAGAACCCGTAGAAAGTACATTATTTCATCTCACACTTTTTATTATTTTTATAGAATATAAATGTATATTATCCACTGTTATCTCTAACTACAAGTTATCAGTTGCATGCATGAGTTCTGAACAATACAACAAAGTTCGTTTCATTGGTGCTAATAGCATACAGTAAATCAGCAAGGGATGGTTGAGCAATCAGACTGATATACAAGAATATCAGGTGCTCAGGATGAATGTTTGCAAATGATTTATATATCAGGAGCACAGTGACTGAGCCATTTCAGAGTTTGTTTTTGGATGTTTTACTGTTCCCTGAAACAAACTTTTCCAAGGCCTCCTGTTGTTCTGGGATTGAGATATAGACCTGTTTTTCTTCCACACTTTTACATTATATAACAGTCAAGCTCCATGTTAACTTGATTAGAATAACCAGGATTTTCCAAATAGTTAATGTTATATTCATTGTCATATTAGGATTATATATGATTTTTACTCAAAATGTATTGGTAATTTTGGCAATGAATATTGAGAAAATTTAAAAGTAACACAAGATTTATCTAACATCTGGAATGTGCTGTTTAAATTCTTTCATTATAAATAGAGATAAGCTAAGGTTGTAATAAAATTTCTATAACTAGAATATGTTTGATATTTTAGTCTTGCTTTCATTTTTAAAGATGTGCCATAGATGTACTAGTAGTGAATATTTGGAAAATAAAGGTTTGGCTTTTAAAATCTTGAATTACAGACAGTTTACCATTGCTTGGCTTTTTGCTTCGGGTCTTAATGACAGTGATTTATTAATAATGTATAAGTTGGAAATGTAATGGAAGTTTCTCTTGTGCTGAATTTAATAACAGATTGAGTCTAGGTTATAGTAATGAAAAACAAATACAGTCAGAGGAAGAGGTTTTTGTTAAAGAACCAGAAAAACTCATGTTATATTATCTGCTTGACTATTTCATATCTGGCTAAAAGGTAATGCATATCTCTGCTCAATTTTCAGTGGAGATGATGAATCGACGCAGGCCTTTGTGCCATTTATCATGGATGTACGGTTGGGGAGTGGGGATGTGACTTCATCCTCAGTCGACCTGGATGAGCCCCTCTCAACGCCCACAGCTATCATCCTGCCTGGGTCCCCCCCAGCTGCGTCCACACCCACCACTGGCCTCAGTATAGACAAAACTCGGGACAACACAACTCCTCCCTCCTCACCGAACATCAACAGCTCACACCTGGCCAAGTAAGGGAAGAACAAAGTCCAAATATGTTTATAGAATCACACAAAATAAGTAATAGGAAGAACAGCATTTATATCAGTAAAGTTTTTAGTCTTGAGGAGAAAGATCAGGTGGTTGTACAGTTAAGTGGATAATGATACATGGCTCATTTTGCAGATAAAGTTCCACTATTATGTTTTATAAGTTTGAAGCTAACCTAAAAAGAAAAGGAAAAGAAAAACTTACTCTAATGTAATTTTTAATATTTTAGGTTGGAGTGAGAGATCACTATATAACATTTGTAGTACTACTGAAATAACTGAGCCTGGTTTTAACTTCTGGTTCTCTATTTATGTTCCTTAACTAGGGTCAGAATTCATCTGTATTGATAGCTCATTTTAAAAATGCAAAGTCAGTCTAAGCTTTTACTTTGTTTATTCACTTTGCTGTGCTTGCATTCCAGCTACAAGTCATTATCTGAAAGTGGTGGGCAGGAAGCTCTGGATCTACAAGTGGACTACTGGCTTGTGCGGAGCTCTGGCCGTGAAGACAAGGAGAAGGAAAAGGAAAAAGAAAAAGCACGTGTTGAAGGAGGAAAGTACACCCTGAAGACCAGCTTTCGCACTTTACAAGTGGCGCGGTTAGCTCCCCTTGGGGTAACGCCACCTGTAGATCCCTACTCCTTCCAGCACTTGACATTGTCATATGCCACCAAAGAGAAGAAGCAGAGAAGTACGACTTGTGGATTCTGTCTGAGAGATCTTAAGAACAAGTTTCATGTCTTGGACACTTGGATATAGAGATTATGTGATTCAGTTATATATTTATAGAAACTGTTAATAAAGCAATGTATGATTTTAAGATTACAGAGACCTGCATTTCTTTGGAATATATAGGAAGTTTATAGCTTTAAATATTTGTCTTTTAACCTGTTGGGTCCTGTTGCATCACGAAAATCAGTGCTGAAAATACAGGGTGTGGGTTACATAAGTGGCCAATATTCCTGGCATGTGGAGTATAGGCCGGGCGTGCACAAAAACTTGTGAGTGGTTACAAGACTATGTGCCTCCCCTTTGCAAAGTTATTTTGCATAAACTTTTTTTTGCTTTTTTGCTATTTTCCAATGTCTATATTTGTCAGTTGACTTAGATGCGGGTAGTGCCGTGATTCCGTTGCCGGACCCACCCATCAGTGAGGATCCACACACCTTAACTGAAGTTAGGGAGGCAATCTCTAAGTTAAAGAATAGCAATGCAACGGGTATTTGTGGCATTCCAGCTGAACTGTTAAAGGATAGTGGGGAACCTATGGCATGTGGGTTGCATGCTGTCCTGGCTGCCATCTGGCTGTCCGGTACCATTCCCCCTGAACTGTTGAGGGGTGTGGTCATCCCTCTCTGGAAGGGGAAGGGGGACCATTGGGATTGTAGCAATCACCAAGGCATCACACTGATCAGTA